GACTCAGTTATTTAAACTGAACTGAGAAGCTAGGTGCAGTGGTTCACACCTATAATCCCAGCACTTTGGGAGGCCGAGGTGGGTGGATCACTTGAGGCCAGGAGTTCAAGACCAGCCTAGCCAACATAGTGAAACACTGTCTCTACCAAAAAAGAAAGAAAAAAATAATACATATATATATATATATACACACACACACACACACACATATATGTGTGTGTATATATATATGCACACACACACACACTCATATATATGTGTGTGTATATATATATATATATGCACACACACACAAATTAGCCAGGCATGATAATTCGTATCTGTAATACAAACTACTTGGGAGACTGAGGTGGGAAGCTTGCTTGAGCCCAGGAGGCGGAGGTTGCAGTAAGTAGAGATTGCTATACTGCACTCCAGCCTGAGCAACAGAGCAAACCACTGTCTCAAAGAAATAGATAAATAAATAAACTGAACTGAGATTCTAAAGTCTATCAATTGGCTAGGATGTCACGTTGGAGACAGTCAATATCTGTCCCCCACCTCAATTGATGTAGGTCCCTCTTAGGAGCCCAAACAATAATAAATAACACTTGTTTTCCCCACGGGTATCAGGTGCACCCCCAAGAATATTTAATATGTGAATGCAAGTTACTACCTTCCCTTCCTCCCCAAATCCTGTGGCTTGCACTGGCTTGTAAGGGTGGCCATAAAGATCTTCAAATATTTAAGAAAACATGACCAATAGGTCATGTACATCTAATATGATTGTGCAAATCGCAAAAGTGAGGCTAACTTTGCATATGCATGGAAGACAATCAGAGTTTTAACTGACTCATATATTACTATAATTTATGCCTACCCTGTGAGAACTTCTTCTTACTTGGGCATCCTCTAATTAAAAAGAGTATTAATACAGGTATTTCTGACTTTAACATAACGAATTACGCCACCTTGACACTGCAAGTCTATCAGACTATCCTCGAGTCATAGGTCAGGAGGTTATGGACTGTAGAATTGTCTTAGACTTTCTCTGAGCCGGCTGAGGTAAAGTCATTGCAATCTCTAGCACTTCCTAGTGTACATGGTTTATATTTCAGGCCAAGTGGAATTATTGATATAGAAATTTAAGGAGAAATGTCAATATAGAAATTTTAGGAGAAAATTACTTGCATTTCTGGGATAGACTCCAGTGAGATTTGTTCAGTTGAGCCTGGGATCCAACAGGAATAGCAGTGGTCAGTACTGCCAGATGGCCTCATCCTGATGTTTGGAATTGTGTTGAGAGTAGCCTTAAAAAAAAGCTATTTGAGTTGAGTTGAGCAGATGCGGTTTCAGTTTTTGTTGGTCACATTTATCAGAGTGACTGATATAATACCTCACTTAGGAGAAAATTCTTCAGAAACCAGGGTAATATTGAGAAAATTGTTGCAGATAATTCTCTGTAGATCTCTCTCATTTTTCCATATCTTGAATGCACAGACACCAATTGATCTTTGTTCTGGAGCAAAGAGCAGTCACGTATACTGTTTAGAATCATAAATAAGTTATCATTCTGTGGCAAAGATCAGGCCTGCTAACTCTCTGTTTTGAATGACTTGGGTTCCATAAGCTCAGGAACCCTCTCCTGTAGAATGTATCAAGCATTTATCTGGGCACTTCTTGGAAAAGGAAACTGGCAAATATGCAGATGCTCGTGCTTCTTGCTTTATTGTAATAAATTCCTTTTTACCTTAATTAATACAATGCGTATTAATTTTATTAAATTTTAGGTCTTTAATAAACAAAAATTGTTTTGCATTATATAGAAAACTGAGGAGCATTTGATAAACATTTAAATCCTTTTCCAAGTTTATATCATTTTACTAAAAATTCAAATTTATTCAGAAAAAATGACTCTCTAATATTAATATTTAGAAGAGCTAGATACATCCTTGAGGTAGACTTCCCTGAGACCTCATCACAGAAGAGACATCAGGTTAGCCAGGCCTTGAAGGTTGACTATGACTTTGCTAACATGCCTAATGGTATGAGGTAAAGGTAACTGAGAACATAATACAAGAAAAGTTATAGAAATGGAAATATGTAAAGGAAAAAATGAGACATTTACTCACTGAAGAGATAAGAACATTAATTGAGGTAAACAACAGAAAAAAACAGTGAGAATCAGGGTTTTGTTGTATGCCATAAACTTTAATATTCAGAGAAGATTACGATCTCAAAATGTTAGAACAATTTCCTTATTTGTGTTTATTGATTTCTATTACTTCTCGGGGACTAGGACAGTTATATCAGATTGACACTCACAGATTTACAAAAGTGCATTGCTTTTCCCACAGGTGTTTTTCAGGATAGAAGCAGGGACAGTTAGTTTCCAATGAATCTGAAACCATTTTATTAATGTGGAACATTTGGGTTAACAATTTGCATTGTGTCAAAGATACTCATCTCATAGTTAGCACTTTTTTTCAAGCAATTCAAAACACCAAGTGGAGAGAATAAATAGACTTTTGAATATCTTGGTGTTTTTACATAAAAGCTACACATTATTTCCAATCTAGAGGCTTCATTTTCATGTTCATTTGTGGAAGCTGTAGTTATAAATTTAACAGGTGGTGCATTCCCTTGTTCCAGAACAGGGCAGATGGATCCCTCGTCACTGTTGCTGGTCATTAATGGTAAGCAGCTGCCTCGCTAGAAAAGTGAGACAGCCCATGAGTCACAACCTCATGTTAATGCATTTCCGCAGTGATTCAATCACTTCATTTTAATGGTCTTGTTCAAATATTTTCTTTCCTCCATTATACACCACTTTAGTAATTAAAAACTGATTTATACATACCACACATGCGCACGTTTGTGTGTGTGTGTGTATGTATGCATGTTTTACTTTTCTCCTTAAAACACAATTCTCTTATAAGCAGGAGGCTGTCACCATCCTTTTGTGGGTTATGAGGCATACCAGCAATGCTGGTTTCCCAAAAATATTGTTCCTTATTAGCACATTTTGGTTCTGACAATTCACATTGTATATTTGTTCTGTTAGTGTAAGACTTTTGTCCTTAGGTGTCTTTTTCAAATGCAAATTTTCCTTATAGGAACACTAAACCATTAGCAGGTATTACTAATTTATCTTGGACATATTTATTTTATGAGGAGGAGTGCAAGTGAATTTTGACATCCGTAGTAAGAACAGCAAATTTCACAGTTTAAGAATAATTTATGCTTGACATGATGGCTCATGCCTGTAATACAGCACTTTGGGATGCCAAGGTGGGAAGATCACCTAAGCCTGGGAGTTTGAGGTTTCAGTGAGCTATAGTCACACCATTGCACTCCACCCAGGTTGACAGAGCAAGACCTGTCTCAAAAAAATAAAAAATAATTTACCATATTTGACTGTGACCTGTAATTTCTTGGGAAGCTTGGGAAAAATGAAAGTTTTCAGGTTTTCATTCCAGCAACTCTCTTATTTAGTAAATGTGGATGGGGGATCCTGAGACTGGGTAATTTATAAAGAAAAGAGGTTTAGTTGACTCACAGTTCCACATTGCTGGGGAAGCCTTGGGAAAGTTACAAGCATGGTAGAAGGCACCTCCTCAGAGGGCAGCAGGAGACAGAATGAGTGCCAGCAGGGAAAGCGCCAGATTTGTAAAACCATCAGATCTCGTGAGACTCACCATCACAAGAATATCATGAGGGAACTGCCGACGTGATTCAATCGCGTCCTGCAGGGTCCCTCCAATGACGCATGGGGATTGTGGGAACTACAATTCAAGATGATATTTGGGTGGGGATGCAGCCAAAAATTAAAGAGAGTGTGTGTGTGTGTGTGTGTGTGTGTGTGTGTGTGTGTGCGTGTGTGTGTACATGTGTATGTGGGTGCATGCACGTGGGTATGTGCCTGCATGCCCTTTGATGATGATGGTGCTGCTGCCAGTCCGGGGTGGCAGAGTAAAGTGTATCCTCTGCCTCAGTGGTGCTGCTGGCAGTGTGGGGTGGTGGGGCAAAGTTTATCCTCTGCCTCCTTGGCAACAATGTGAGGAATTCTACCCCAGTGTCTGGGGAATGCCTGCCGCCTGGTAAGTGCACAATAGTCTTTGAATAGAGGGATATATAATTATGAGGATGTAATGGAGAAAACAAGGGAGGGGGGACAGGGCACAGAGGGAATAGCTACCTAATAGTAATTTTGTTCTGTCCATTTTTTTTTCTAATGGGCTCAAAAAATGCCATAACCATACAGCATGGTTCTAAATCCATTAAAACTTCTCCTTTCCTCATGATAATAAGTCATTTGTACTTAACAAAATCAATAGTTGAGTGAATGAGAAAAGTCCTGAAACCTGGGATATAAGAGTAATAATAGAAAAACTCCGTAGCTTCAGAATCTGCCGAGGTCAGTCTCCCCAGTCTACTTAAATTATCTAATTATTTCACATCTCAAGCTGGATATTTGCCTTTTATGACCCAAGAAATCGATATATGAATTAGCTGTCAGAAAGAGAGATGTTGAAAAGAAAATTTTGAAAGATAAGAGTATAAAAGGAGTTGAAAATCTTTGTGATTCCATTTTTCAATCTGCTGATTCATATATCCAGCCCCAAAATAATGCATCATTTTGTGATGTGTTTCATATAGTAAAATCGTATTAAAGATAAACATGATTATAATTTAGTTTCTCCTTACAAGAGCATTTTTATGGTATTTTTTAAACTTACTATACTAATTCTGGTCAATGAAATTATAGTAATAGGATTAGATTCATCTCATCTACTTTTTTAAATAGTCGAAGGAATGATGAGCTTGATTTTTATACAGTAAGATTCCCTTGGACCTGGGACTTCAAGCAGTTAAGTTCTCTTCTGGTTCTTATCAGGACAGATAGTATGAAGACACACTATGCTTACCGATGCATGAAGAGTTATTAAGACACAATATATTTCCCAAAAAAAGAAAATCAAGGAGGTGATAATACAATTTTATAAAACTATTTTTTTTTTCTAGTACAAACTTAGGGCTCTTTATTCAGGCAGTAAAGTAAGGAACAGCAAAGTAGGAGGGCTACACCATCACCATGGCAACAGAAAGCCTCAAAAACATAAAGTCCCTCGACTTCTGTCGGGTAGACTCTTTCTAGCTCAGGAGAAACACATTTTAACTGGCTGAGAACAAGGCCAGGCAGCCTGGCCACACTGTGGAAGGATGGCTGTGTGTACGGCCTCTGGTCAGTCCTGGAAGTGCTTGATGAGGGCTTCCAGCAGCTCCTGCTTCTTCAGCCCACTCTTCAGCCCGTATGCCCGGCAAGCCTCTTTCAGCATGGGCACAGTGAGCTTGCCCAGTGTGCCCTTGCTGATGTGGGTCTTCAGCTTTTCTTCTGAATACTCCACCTTGGGCCTTTTGCTTCCGGAACCTTCATTATCGTGTTTTCTCTTGGTAACTTTCCCTTCAGGATTGTAATCTGGTGGGTAAACAAGCTCCTTAAATTCATCCACCAGGGAACCCAGTCTTTAATTCATTGCTTCAACCTTGGGCAATGTCAGGTCCACTGCTTATTCAGGCTCCATCAAATCCAAGGCCAAGGCCTCCAGGTTCCTGAAGTGCTGCTGCAGCATGGGGTTCTCAAAGCTGTCACTTCTGTATGTGAAGCAGAGCTTCTCAACAATAGCCTTCATCTTGTCCACCTGCTCTGAAGTTGCCATGATTTTTTCAGTAAAGGGCATCTTCCTTTTATCATCAGCAAATGGTAAAAATACCAGCTGAAAGCCTGGAGGAGTGACCTGAATTTTCTGGTCATCCAACTCCTCATCCTGTGGAACCAAAGCCACAAAATAAGGGGGGATGTTCCTCCGGGGTGTGTATCTGCACAATGCTTCGACTTCCTTCTCCAGACACTTGATGAGCAGAGCACTGAACAGGGTTGAGCTCCCAATCACCAGAGACTCCTCTGGGTACACGAACAGGGAGGGTCTCAGGTAATGGTGCTTCTTCAACATTACCAAGGGCTTGAAGCCCATGAGCATCAAACCTGGATCATCAAATCGTTTTAGCTCTTCTGTTTCCTCTTTCTCCAGTATAATCTGACGACTCCCATAGATCTGCGACCTCTTGGTATCGCTAGGCAGAAGCAAACCGCCTGTACTTGTATTAAATGTCCAGGTCTTGGTTTTCACTGGTTCATTTGTTTCCCGATAGAGCTTTATTGGAGGAGGCTTGAGAGCCTTCTGGACCAGATTATAAATGCCAACAGAGATCACTATATCTTTGTTGAGCTTCAGCTTTAACCTGCTAAGTGCTCGCTTCCTGGCCTCCTTGGCGCGAACCTTCCGCAGCAGGTCTTCTAGCTTGCTGGATTCCTCAAAGTGAACCCTGAGGTCCTCATCCTCTGCTATGCTGATAATATCTCTGTAGAACAAGGATATGTCAAAGCCCCCAGGTTTCTTCAGGTGCANTGGGGGTTGTCTTCATTGGTGAAAAGCATGATCCTCTTATGACTCATCTTGAACTGGACATCACTAAAGAGGTTGGCACAGACCCACAGCACTTCACTGAGTGACTAGCTAGATCCGTGGCCCATCAGCTCTTGGAAACGTTTCTGTCCCTGCTGCCCCTTAAACTGGTCACGCTATAGAATTCGTTTTGCACCTGGATTATCCAACTCCTGTAAGACATAAATATTTTTAAAATTCACTGCATTTTTGTCTTTCTCGGTACCATAGAACACCACTGCCAAGAGATCTCGATCACTGCTTATGATCTTACTGATGTACACACTTTGGATACACTGGATGGTCATGTCAAAAGGAGTCAACTCATCTTCACTTTGAGATTCAAACACAACCCTGGAGGCATCAACCAAAAAAATCAAACTATCTCTTCCTGAATATTTGTAGTCTCCACTTGCTTCAAGGTTATCCTCTTCTTGTTCTTCTGCTTCTTCATCGCCCTCGGTTTTGTAATAGGACTCCCACCCTGACATGTTGGCTACTGCTCACTTTGGTGCAGGGACACGACCAACTTGGACAGAAGACGAGAGTGCCTATAAAACTATTTTTTAAAGAATAATACAGCTGCCAGGCGTGGTGTCTTCCGACTGTAATTGTACTCCAAGCATTTTGGGAGGCGTAGGCGGGCGAATCACGAGGTCAGGAGTTTGAGACCAGCCTGATCAGAAACCCCGTCTCTACTAAAAATACAAAAATTAGCTGGGTCTGGTGGCACACACCTATAATCCCAGTTGCTCAGAAGGCTGAGGCAGAAGAATCGCTTGAACCCAGGAGGTGGAGGTTTCAGTGAGCCAAGACTGCACCAGTGCATTCCAGCCTGGCAACAGAGTGAGACTCCATC